CATGAAGGAATCGAGACTTAGAGTGCGGGGATTCGCACAGGCTATCACCAGGAACTCCGAGTAGTGGAAGAAGGACATAAAGCAGCCATAGACGCCAAATTGCTGCCATTCGGTGGGGGCAAAGCAGATGACCAGCGTACTTACGGCCATGGTAAAGCCCAGGAAGGAGGCCCTAATGGCAACCTGTGGGGTGAGAATAGCGATATTGATAAGGTTCTTATACATATGAACTTTACCGAGTGACTCACCTGATAGTCGTGGTTTCGCAGCACGAACCGTATGATCATGTTGATCAGGGCGTAGTATAGAACAGGACCCCAAAGCACGGCGCCCCACACTTGGGGCACCAATCCATAATAGATCTGAGGCACCGAGGGGATGAGGATCAGGGCTGCGGTGATCACAAAGCAATATAAACTCAGGCGGCCCTCGGAACACAGGGGGGAGCCTCCATTCCCCGCGGTGGGGACTCGGGGGCTATTTGCACACATGGTCGAGGGATCGGGACTATATTTGTGCTGCAAGTGTGCGCCAAAACACGAAAAATTCGAATTTTTAAAACATTTGCTCGGTTGGATGCTCCAAAACGTAAATAAACCGGCAAAGCTTCCGATAACGATAGTTAGTACAGTGAGATACCGATATAATGGAAACAAGGAGGTATTTTTACTTGTGTGATATTCAATTTTCAAAGTAAAAACATTTCTTCTATATGTATGATACATTTTTTTACAAAATCATGTTGGCTAAGTTGGTGGTAATTAAAAAATATTAAATAAAAGTAGAATAATTTTTAGCGAATACCCACTGTAGCTACAAACAATAGGTATCACTCCAAAAAAAAATCGATAAATGGTAGTATTTCATTTGTTAAAATTAAGTGATAAACGTTATAAAACAGAAATAATTATTTTTTTTTAAAACCAAAAATTTAAAAGTAGTTAAAAAGAGTCCCTTTTAATTCAACTTGTTTTGATCGATATCTTATCGATAACCCGATGAGCGGCTGTTAACAGCGCCGTGCAGGTTATGTAAAATAAAAACTACAATTTTGGAGTTCAATTAAAAAACCAAAGAATTGAACCAAACTTGTGTTAATATCAAACCATGGTCTTCCTGAATCTGCCACTTTTGGTGCGAGCCCGCGGTCCGGATGAATTCTGGCGGAAGAGGCGTATCTTTAAACTAGCAGCGGTACGTTCTCCCATCTTTTAACTCAAAATAACAATAAAACATGGAAAATGTTTACTTCCCATAGCATTACAGGAGTCGCACCCGCAATGTCTACTCCTTTGCTATAAGGAGTGTCCATAGGGCACTGGCGTACGCCACCAAAGGACGAAAGCTGAAGAAACTGGACATGGCGCAACTGTGGAGCACACGCGTTGAGGCGGGATGCCAGCAATATGGTGTGGGTCTGGAAACCTTCAAGGAGGGCCTGGCGCGCTCTGATATCCTGCTCAACAAGTAGGTGGCACCCAAAGATGCATCTGCCGATTAATCAACCATAATTCTTTGCAGGAAAGTCCTCTCTGATCTGGCCATTTGGGAACCGCGTTCTTTCGAGGCTCTGGTTAAGATCTCTCGGGAGCGTGCCGCCGTCGAAGGAATGCCGGATATCAAGCGGAGGTCGGCCTTCAACCAAGTCTACGGCCTGAGCAATTTAAAGTTGGATTAACTTAGCCTTAAGTAGGAGTTCAAATATAGATATTTTGTATATTTTACCGAATAACATGACGTCTTTTTTTGGATATTAGAAAATTTAAAATCTCTTTGGATACCATTTAACTTGAAATTCTTTTTGGTCTTACATAACTCAACTCTTTTTCCAGTGATATTTAACAATATTTTTTAATCCCCTTAAGGGAAATGTGATACCATTTAACTTAATATGATAAAATGAGATAAGAATGTTCCCAATGAAAAACATGACAAATACAACCATGTTTTAGATTTTAACAAGTAACTCGAAATTTATTGAATGGCGGTCCATGCGCATTGCAAACAAAAATATTGCATCAGCGTTTATTGTAGGTCTGGTTTCGGGTTTGTGGGTGTGTTACATACTAATAGAAAACATAGAATTCATAGAATTGTGAGACAGTGTCCGGCGGCGAGCTCTACTCAAGTTTAGCCAGGATGTCGGATTCGCGGAAGAGGAACAACTCCTTCTGGTCCCCCTCCAGGTTGACCTTGGTGCCACCGAACTCGGGGAGCAGGACGCGATCGCCCTCCTTCACGCCAATGGGAATGTGACTGCCAGTGGTCTGCGGATTTGGTTGGACGATCAATTAAGATGACTGCCTGTGCACAGATAGTGACGAAATACTCACGGCGTTACGAGTACCAGGGCCCACGGCCAGCACGGTGCCTTCGAGAACTTTGCCCACCGCCTTCTCCGGCAGAACGATGCCGCCTTTCGTCTTGGTCAGCGCCTCGGCCCTCTGGATCAGGATGCGGTCCAGCATGGGAATGATCTTCTTGATAGCGGCGGACTGGATGTCATTAAATAAGCATTAACACAATTTACCCGTTTCATGTTTCTCTCATTGATTACACAACAGCCCGGCAAAAGAGAGAAGGTCCCCCGCAAGTTGTGGAACCTTCTCGAAAGACGTGGACCATGGACCATAGTGATCCCCGGCTCTTTCGTTTACGGCATGTTGAGCAACACAACATTAACTCACCATTTTTGTTCTTGAGTTCTTAAATGCAAACTGGAGCTCTTGGAAAAAGTTAAGTGAACTTTTAAGTGAACCACACGTGCCGGCGTAACTTCGATAGATGAGAAACTGCAAGCAGAGGTGGAGAAACATCGATGTTTTTGAAACATCGGTGACTTCGAGGTTTGGCAGAGCTATCGATGTTTTCAGGGGCTAATCGATGTTTTTTAAATTTGATTAAATTTAAATATGTCAAATTTCAATGTTATTATTATTATCGCAAATAGCAATATAAGTTTAAAATTCAAGCCCAAATAAAATTCAAGACAAGACAAAGATGCTATTTTCATTGTGGCGCCACGAAAAAATGTATATTTCAAATCCAAGGTAGTAATTTAATAAACATAAAATAATTTTGTAATAAAACTTCATATGTAACATAAGTATTACTTATCAACTAACCTGTTCAGCCTTTTTGTATTCCTTATTATGCTAAACAAGGGAGAATTAATATTACTTTGCAAACCTCTGCGCTCATACGTTATCTACATAGTATAGGTTATATATATTTATAAGTAGTGAATACCCTTTGCTTTATAAAAATACTGTTTGTTCATGAAACGATCCGCTTTTAAGGACGCTATTGTGGCTTAGCAAGTGACCCTTAAGCCTGACATGGTGAGAATAGCTCTTTGGGCAGATAGAACACTTGTACGGCTTTTCTCCTGTGTGGGTTCGCAAGTGTACATTGAGGTGAGAAAGTTGTGCGAAATTCTTCGAGCATTGGGTACATTTGTAGGGTTGTTCTCCACTGTGCGTTCGCAGGTGTAGCTCAAGACTTGAATTCCTGGCAAATTTCCTTGAACAGTGGGAACACTTAAATGGTTTTTCGCCTGTGTGGGTTCGCAGATGGTTATTAAGAGCTATCTTCTGTATAAAAGACTTTGAACAGAGCGAGCACTCATACGGTCGTTCTCCTGTGTGCGTTCGCAAGTGCAGCTGAAGAATTTCTTTCCGGGCAAAAGCCTTTACGCAGTGGCTACACTGATACTTTCGTTCTCCTGTATGGCACACTTCATGTGCCTGAAGATGTCCGAGAGTTTGAAAACACTTTGAGCAGTATGTACAATTGAATGGTCGTTCTCCCGAGTGTTTTCGAAAATGGCTCTGAAGAGCTGAGTTAAATGGAAAGGATTTCGGGCAAAGGGAACACTTAAACGGCCTTTCTCCTGTTCCTGTGTGCGCTTGGAAGTGTCGCTTAAGATAACAATTGTGTGTAAATGTTTTCGAGCATTGGGTACATTTGAACGGTCTACCTCGAGAGTGTTTTTTTAAATGGTACCTAAGCGCTGATTTCGATGTAAAAGTCTTTGAACAACAAGAGCATTTGTGCAAGCTAGTATTCTCATCATTATCATTGGCAGATTCATAATCATCGTCACTCTCTCTAAGTGCCTGCCAATCATATTCCTCAATCTCAATCTTCATTTGGATTTCGCATGGATCGCTGTCGCTCTCTGGTATTGGATTGTATTCTTTCTCGAAAACATCTTCTTCAAGTGGTTCGTTCTTTACTTGGCACTGGAACTCCTTCTCCCGAAAGTCATCAACAAATTCTTCCTTTATTTCAGTAGCATCCAGGTTTATAATACGACCCTCGGTATCCGGCTCCTTACACACTTCTTTCTCGAGTAAATCCTCAATAGCATCTTTGACTCCCTGCAGGCAGGGAGGGCAAATTTTTTCGGACAAACGATCACCCTTCTCAACTTTAAGTCCGATGCACTTCGAAACCATACCGGCAATGGAAACTCCAAATCCAACACTCTCTTCAAAAATATTGACCAGGTCTTCGCCAGTTCCCAGACAAACACGGCATACCGAAGACTCCATTACTCTGAAAATAAATAAAATTGTCATAGATATATGAACATATATTGTATAGCTAATCTAAAACCAAAAATTAGACTCTCACGGTTTTACTTAGAAGATATTTTGGCCAGAATAACCGCCCAAATAGTTTGTTTACATCGACGAATTTTGTTAGAGATGCAACATCTCAGTGTTGTTATCGATACTTTCGTGAGTACACTATCGTTCAAAACGATACATTTTTGGACTGACTAGAATCGAACTACCCACTAAACCAAACGAATAATATTTGGTTTCAAAAAGTGACTTAAATTTACTTACTGCCCTGCGTAGCTGGTATGTCAAACCCTAGTTGTTTTTTTTTGCTTTACAATTATGGCCCGTTTCCATTTCAATATTTTTGCCCTTTCTGCTTATAAAACATTGTTTTATACAGGGGCTCCCATTAAAACAATACCAACATAATTTATTTTTAATAGCAATTTATTTAAACTTCTTAATTGCTGACTTGTCTGAAAAACAAACAATAATGTTTCTATAACATTTCTGAGCAGCTGTTTAAAAAATCCTTGAGTATGAAATCATTGGAAAGGTACATATTTTAAGAAAGACTAGGCCGAGGAGGATATGAGCTCAAAAAGTAGGGAACAAAAGTGTCTTGAAATTGACTCGGTTACTATATTTGACGAACTTAATAAAGTGTATCTGTAGAAAACTTTCCAATACGTATAATTTTTTTTTTTTTTTTGACATTTTGTGTTGTCAAAATTTTAAATGAATGAGAAAAGACACATTATAAATTCCTTATATTAATTTATACTTTAAGAGATTTCGCCGGAAAGTCACTTGCAGAAAAAAATGTTTTTATGCACAATCCCGATGTTTTTATTTTGCTTTAGTCTTTGTGGCTAGGGCTATGCTGTGTGCGTTCGCAAGTGCAGCTGAAGATTTTTAAGCCGGGAATACGACTTTGGGCAATAAGTACACTTAAAATCTTGTTCTTCTAAATGGTGTTTTCGAATATGCGCCTGAAGGTGTCCAAGACTTGGACAAGACTTAGAGCAGCGGGTACAGTTGAAAGGTTGTTCTCCTGAGTGTTTTCGATAATGGCTCTCAAGCGTTGAGCAAAATGCAAAGGTCTTCGTGCAGATGGAACACTTAAACGGCTTGTCTGAATGCGTTACCAAGTGTCGCTGAAGGTATGTATTGTGGGAGAAAGTTTTCCCGCAGTGAGTACACTTGAACGGTCGATCTCCAGTGTGTTTTCGCGAGTGGATCGTGAGAGCTGATATCGATGTAAACGTCTTTGGACAGTAATAGCATTTATACAAAAAGCTATTATTTTCATTATCATCATCGACATCATCGTCTTCACTTCTCTGGAAATTATCTATCACCACCTTGGTCTCCGCTTCGTCATCGTATGATTCGATCTCGCATTCTGATTCAGGATCGTGTTCTTCCTCGTATAAGTCTTCTTTGAGTGGTTCATTCCTTACTTGGCCCTGGAACTCGTCTCCATACGGTTCCTCCTTCTCCCGCAGGTCGCCTGATACATCTTCCTTAGTGTCAGAAGCATCCAGGTTTGGTACACGACTCACGATATTCGGCGTATCCTTCTTTGGATGACAGTAGAGTTTGCGGGTCCTCTCGTAACTTTGCTTTACCTCAAATGCATGTTTGGCATCCCGCAGGCATGAAGGGCAAATGCTATCCGGCAGACAATCACCCTTCTCAATTTTAAGGCCGGTGCACTTCGAAATCATACCCGCAATGGAAACTCCAAATTCAACAGTTTCTTCAAAAATGTTGAGCAGGTCTTCGCCATTCCGCAGACAAACACGGCATGCCGGCGACTCCATAACTCTAAAAATCAATAAATTATTGATACATATGTGTGTATACACTGTAGATCTAAACTAAAAAAAAACAATTTGAATTCTTACGGTTTTATTTAGAAAATATTTACGTCCAGATATATCCGCTCAATGGATTTGTTTACGTTCTCAAAATTCTATTAGAGATGCCAGATTTTAGTGTTGTTATCGATACTTTCGGATGGCCACTTTCGAATACTATCGATACTTTGAAAATCGAGCTACTTTCTTTTTAATCTCCGTTTTAAGGGTTGTTTTCAGACTTTTAAGTGCTATGATATTTTCATAATTTGTAGAGTAAAATGCTATTTTGTATTTTAAAAAAAATTATGTGACAGTAATGAACTTAATTAATAATCTTCAACTTTAAGACTGATTCCCACTATTTGATAAGTTATATTTAAGTGAGATATATTTTTTATATACCTATTTCGTTTTTTTTTAATCAGTTTTGCTTCCATACTCCTAATAGAATAATGCAAAATTTGTATGCTACCTTAAATGAAAACAAAAATTGTTAAGTTTATTATAATAAAAATCATTATTATTGCGATAAGTAACACTTCATGGAAGCGTTTTTTAAATTATGTCTATGAACGCCCTAATCTCGGAATCTATAAAGACTAAAAACTTTGGAATAAGGACTCAAGATGTATGTTTTTTTACTCAGCCCACCCACTGTAACGCCCACAAATGTTCATAACGCTAAATTGGGACAAAAAGTTAAACACTTGTTTTTTAACGAAAAACTCTTCTCGCAGGAGCCACAAATTTAATTAAATGTAGAAAATGTGCGATAAGATTGGAAAATAGTCGGAAAATAGTAGAATACAAGCAGTTTTGAATTGCTGGTAAACGTGGATTTGAGAAAAAAAAGCCTGTGATCTGCAACACTCTAGGGTAAATGATCAGAATAAGGCAACTTGCAGTGCTCATATCTTCAAATTATAGGTCCAATCGATTAGGCAGTGTTATTCCGAATTGTTATCCGTTGTTGCCCCCTGTGCCTTCGTTCGTGTAGCTTAACACCTGTACTCGTGGTGAACCTCCTTGGGCACTGGGAACACTTAAATGGTCTTTCGAGTGTTGTGTGGGTTCGTAGGTGTAAATTGAGGTCTTCAAGGTTTAAAAAAGTCTGTGCGCAGGGGGTGCACCTGAAGGTTTGTTCTGCGTGTATTCGAAGATGACTTTGAAGCGCTGACTTAGATGGTAAGATTTTTAAGCAGCGTGGACACTTTATCGGCATAGTTTCCGTGTGCGTTTTCAAGTGTTGCTGAAGAAGTGTATTGCATGCAAAAGTTTGTGTGCAATGGGTACACTTTAAATTTTGTTTTTCGTAGTTAAGTCCAAGATGCCTCTTGAGCGCTGAACTAAATTGAAAGATGTGTAAGCAATGGTTACACTGTTTTTTTTCCTGGTGTGTGCTAAGATGGCTCTTGAGCGCTAGTCTACTTCGAAAGGTAAGCGCGCAGTGGTAACACTTAAACGACAATGTATCTTCGTGCCTTTTTACTTGTCGCTGAAGATATATGGTTTCAAAAGACTTTGAGCACGGTCGTTCTCCTATGTGTTTTTGCCAGTGCAACGTAAGAGCTGATTTCGATATAAAAATCTTCGAACAGTAAGAGCATTTATGAATGCTATTGTTCTCACCATCATCATTAACAGCCTCCCAACCAACTTCAATGATATCATCTTCATTTTGCTGGATATTATCTTTCACAACCTTGATATCGCTCTCTGATATAGGATTGTATGCCTCCTCAAAGACCACATCGAATCGATCTCCAAGTGGTTCCTCAATATCTTGCAGGTTATCATCTTCCACTGCATTGGTCTGGCACTCTGATATAGGATTGTATTCCTTCTCAAACACCTCTTCAAGTTGTTCCTCCATTTCTCGCAGGTTATCATTTTCCTCAACCTCCGTAAATACTTCTACTAGTGGTTCCTGACTTATTTGGCATTGGAATCGGTCCTCCATTTCTCGCTGTTTATCATCTTCCACAACCTTGATCTTGCACTTTGATATAGGATTGTATTTCACCTCAAATGCCTGTTTCTTGAGGGGTGCGACCCTTACTTGGCTTTGGAAGTGATTGCCAAGAGGTTCCTCGATATCTTCTTCCTTAATTTTAGCAACACATGGATGATTGTCCTCGGTATTGTTTTTTATCGGACATTCGATGTCCGGCTCCTTGTACACTTCTTTCTCGAGTATATCATCCCTTTTTATATGACAGTGGAGTTGGTGGCCTCTCCTGTTAGTTGGCTTCATCCCATACGCATTTTGTGCATCCTGCAGGCAGGTAGGGCAGATGGTTTCGGGAAATGTATCTCCTCTTTCAATTTTGTAGCCAGCCCACTCAGAAATCATATCCGCAACGGAAACTTCCAATTGATGGGACTCTTCAAATATATTGACCAAGTCGTCGCCATTTTCCAGGCAAACTCGGCATATTGAAGACTCCATCTAAAATAAAAAACCAACGTTATATATCTCAGCTATAGCGCAAATTGATGTCCTTACAATTGTATTTGGGTAATATTATGGCCAGATCTGTATATTTAGGTGCGATGGTCTGTTTACTTCTTCAAAATTCTATAAGAGATGTACCGATATTGCGTTGTTATCGATACTTAGCTGGAACCACCATCGATTAAATAAGCGGCAGTGAAAATATTGTTAATTCACCTGAATTAAGCCCTAACAACTAAGCAAATTCTAAAAAAAAATATTTAAATCTTGAGAAATATATATTGTTTACATTTTTAATATGTTATTTTCAAATCAGCAATACGATTAATGTTTAAATGATCCTCAGATTATTTTATTCTGAAAAAAATACCGCTTTGTAAATATATAATTTTATATAAAATAACGAAATATTTTATAATTTATATCGATAATACATCGATATAGCGATATATTCCTGACTCTCCCACCACCAAGGCTGATTGTCTTGAGATTTTTGAGTCACCGTTTTGCCTTGTTTACATGTAATGTAATTTTGCCAGAAAATCTGAATTGATTTCATTTTAAACTCAAGTGGCATAATGTTATTCTGTCGTTTACTTAGTCTTAAATTTGTCTAAGTTGTTTTCGTTAAGATTAATAATTCAATAAGACGACAATTGACCTACTAAGATGTCGGATCGTCGTGGCACAAAAATTGGAACTGGTACAAAGGCTCTGGAGTACTGGTGCCGAGTTAATACCCAAGGATACAATGGAGTTAAGGTGGAGAATATGACGACTTCGTGGCGGGACGGTCTGGCCTTCTGCGCAATCATCCATCACTTTCGACCAGACCTTATAGATTTCGACAGTTTAAAGGCTGCCGATATTTATGAGAACAACGATTTGGCCTTTACCACGGCCGAGAAATACTTGGGCATTCCTGCGCTCCTTGATGCAGCTGACATGGTTTCGTATGAAGTTCCCGACAGACTATCCATTCTAACGTATCTATCCCAGTTTTACAAGGTGCTCGGCAAGAGCCTTAAGCATCCGAAGCCAGAGGAGAAGTTCTGTGAGGAAAGTGAGCCGCCGCAAAAGATGATGCACATTGTGGGAATGCCCAGACGTGATAAGTGTCAAAAATGCGAGCTTCCCGTTTTTCTAGCCGAGAGGGTTCTCGTCGGTAAACGGGCTTATCACCGCACTTGTCTGAAGTGCGCCAGATGTTCCTCATTACTCACTCCCGGGAGTTTTTATGAAACAGAGGTCAATAATATATACTGTTGCGAGACTTGCCCCGATGAAGAAAGCGAACCCGAATCTGACATTGTTAAACTAAAGGCAGCCAACGAAAGCGAACCTGAATCTGACATTGTTGAACTGAAGACAGCCAATATGGATACTACTGGCGATCAACAACTTGTTGCAGAAAGTTCTGGTAACTCTAGTGTTCATCAAGTAGACGTGGAAGACAATAATAGTGCCTCGTTAAGTATAACTGAAATGAGTTCAATCAGTAAAATGCCGTCCAATATAGATGAACAAAATGAAGATGATAAACCTAAAGCAACTGAGCAAAATGATCAACTTGAAGTTGATCTTGTAAAGCCTATTTTACCAAACGTGCCTAATATTTCTACGGTGCCTCTAGACGAGGAAGATGGTGGTATCCTTGATGAAAATATGGAACTTATAGTTGATCATGTAAAGCCTGTTTTACCTGAAGAACGTAAGATCTCTACTGTTTCACTAGACATTGAAGATAGCCGTCCTCTTGTAAAAGCAATACCCTTGGAGAAACTTGATGAACAAGAAGTGATAAGCCCGACCAATACATCAGATATACACATTCCAGAGCCACATGAAGCACCTATTCCAGAAAATAACACTCAAGAAGCCATTAAACCTGAAAACAATATAAGCTGCAATACGGAAAATGAAATTTTCTCAAAAACAGAAAGCTGCTCAAAGCAGGAAGGTGATGTCAAAATCTCGCAAGAAAAAAATCTCGAGTCTCCCAAGGAGAATATTAGTGAGACAAAAGTAACTGAAACTGAGTATCCAGAGGACTTAAATCCCTTTAAAGATGATGACTCGTGCAAAGGTGCAAATCCCTTCGACAGCTCCGACGATGAAGTGGAGCTTCTTAAATCCATTCCAGCCCAAGGCAAAACCATTATTTCAAAAAGAGATAAAGTCGTACCACCCCGTCCACCTCCACCTAAAATAGGCCCAGCCTTAAATAAACCATCAGAGGATCAACATTCCAGTCCCACACTTTCGCAAGGGAAAAAAATGCCGATGCCTACACCTAGAATATCTATATCGAAACCCCAGACTCCTGCAAAATGGACGACTCAAGACCGAAAAACTAACTGTAATATTTCCTCGTCGTCTTCGGAGCACTTGGACAGCATGAGAGCATTTGACCGTGGAGCAGATGACCGTGGCTCAAGTATCTCTTTGCCAACTGCTAATGCGCCGCGCAAGCCACTTCGGGCCTCAGGGGCGACTCCATCAAAAGGCGAAGACTTAAGTCCCACTACCAGTCTCAGCTCTATTACATCTCCAATGCGGAAGAAGCGCCAAGCACCATTGCCTCCGAAGCCGGCCAACTTGGAAAGTGATCCTGGATTTTCGAAGTTGTCAGACGAACAAAAGGTCCGAAGATTAATTCCTCTTGACCAGAGCTTGCTTTCTGATGAAACAGCAGAGTCAAGTAATTACGACGACAGCCTAAACACTTCAAATGCAGACGAAGAGGTAAACGTGGTATATAGACGCATTTTGGTTCCACCAACTCAGCCCGAAAACATAGGCAAAGAGGATCATAAGACCCCGATCGTTTATAACGATTTTGATAGAAACGTAAGCCCCTTAGGATTCAATAAATCAACCCATGGCAAATGGAAAAGGCGGAAGGGGCCAGCACCTGCGGTTCCTATACCACCCCGTAAAGTATTACAACGTCTCCCGCTGCAAGAAATTCGCCATGAGTTCGAAATTATTGCCGTACAACAGCTGGGTCTCGAAAAGCAAGGTGTTATTCTTGAAAAAATGATAAGGGATCGTTGTGAGCGGTCTTTGGATGCCACAGAAGCTGATGGTGCCGAATCAATAGACTCTGAAATAACCAACTCCAAGGAGGTGGAAGATCTTATATTGCAATTGTTTGAGCTGGTTAACGAAAAAAACGAATTGTTCCGGAGGCAAGCAGAGCTAATGTACCTTCGACGACAACATCGTTTGGAACAGGAGCAAGCTGATATTGAACATGAAATTCGAGTATTAATGGGTCAACCGGAGCAAAACAAAACCGACTCAGATAAGGCCCATGAGGAAGTATTAATCAATCGCCTTGTGAAGGTTGTTGAGATGCGCAACGAAGTAATTGATAGCCTAGAGACTGATAGAGTTCGAGAGGCTCGGGAGGATATGAGCATTAAGAACCGACTTCATATTTACAATTCTGAGCGCGAGGAACCAGCAGACCCAAAAAGCGCGGACAAGTCATCCAAGAAACTGTCGAAAAAGGAACGAAAGAAACTTAAAGAAGAAAATAAATTGGGTAAGGGGAAAAAATCGGACCTCGATAAGGACGTAGACGAGTCTGAGCCGGCACCAGCTTTGGAAAAGGTTAAAAAGAAACGAAACTTGTTTTTTTTGAAAATGTAAAAAAGTAGGGAGCAAGATTCTATGCGTCGAACAATTAAATTTTATTTTATGTAAATTTGTAACCTATTAAGTTTTTCTATTGCCATAGATGAGCATTTCAATAAATACAAGATCACCTTATATATTTTCTGAGTGGTATATAAAACAACATTTCGGTAGTTTGTACTTTTACAATAAATTAGTGGGTTGGCTTTAAGAACGGTTCAAAGCAGTTTCAGTTATGGCTGCTTAACTATAATAATTTAAAGTTTAACTTAATTTATTCCGAAACTTTTGAAATGTCAAGTCCCCAGAAAACAAGCATTTTCGTTTATTTATATTTTTCCGAAATATTTATTTTTGTGCTGATTATGGTTTTGGTAAGTGGGGGAAGTTCGTTATAGCGATGCGCGAAAAGGTTTCCGGATTCGGAAACTTCGTGTGTGATCGATGATCATATGATCTAGTGGACGCAGTCTATAGTTAAAAGACCCCGTCGTACTTGATAAGATGAAGTTTCATAGCTTTAAAATAATTTTATTTAATGTTAAGGACAAATTAATGAAATATTCTTTATGTGTGCTTAACCTATCGAAAGTAGTACTATCGAAAATAGAACATCTCTATACTGATAATAGCTGCGATCACTACAACCTATAAAAATTATTAATCATTGATTATAGGAAAATTGAAGAATTCGCTGCCTGATATTATATCTTTTAATTACCTAAAATATTAGAATTCAGGTCGAAAAGAACTCAGCAAAAGTTTTTCGTAGAATATTAAATATTTCGGGTGCAGGTGAGCCGGTTACAATTTATGTGATTCCCCTCAATAAATAAAGTTCTTTCTGCTCTCATCTGTAGTCGAAAGTGAACCAAGTTACTAGCAATGAATCGTTCACGCCTTAATTACATTGAGTCTGGAGAAAGACGCCGTAATCACCTTGCATCTTTGGAGAACCTTTGGCAGAAGGAGTTTACATTTCTGGAGCAGCTTTTTGATCAGAACATTCCATTTGCTCCCAAGGATCTCATGAAGTTTCACGACTACGTCTACGTCCACTGCTCGAGCTTTGTTCACAATCCGAGTGTCCGTTCCCAGGACCCCGGAAAACATCTGTACGATGGCCTGACCGTGTACCTTAACTCACGACTAAAAGAAATATCTGGGGGAATGGAAAACATTCTCGATGATGAAGACTTGGTAGTTGAGTACGTTGGGCATTGGAAGAAGTATCGGAAAGCTTGCGAGGAATTAGACCGAGGCTGTCGTTATCTCAACTTCAACTGGGTGAAACGGGAGCGGTTTGAGGGCCACAAACATATCCAGGAGGTATACCGTATGGCCATGATCCGGTGGAAGGAGGTTGTGTTCAGTCCCATTGACAGGGCCCTGGTCACCGCCATTACCCTGATCTTGAGGCACAAGCCCACGGAACACACCAAATTCCTGGTGTACCAGGTGCTTCAATCAATTGTAGAGCTGTATGCCAATGATGAAAGGCAGGAAGTGCCAGTGCCTTCCAAACTCAATAACGTTTTCACTGAGGAGGTGGTGGGTTTCTACAAGTCGGAGACCCTGGCCGAATTCCAAAGGATCATCCTATCCAATACCTACACCGATTTTAAACACTTTCTCAAATACTCATGCCTAGCCATGCCAGAAATCAAGGCAGGCGTTCAGTTTAAGGGATTCGTGAAGAGGCACCTCGCTTCGCAGCTGGAGAAAGCTATTGCGAAATCATTGGGCGGCAAAGATTACGTCCAAGCCATTTTGACAGTTCGACATAGTCCCTTGGAGCGGGCAATGCGGGATCACAAAGAGCTGGTGGCCGTAATCGATGAGGTGTGCTCGGATGCGATAAACAAAATGGATCAGAAAATTGATCCTATCAGGGAACTGGTCATATACTCCAACGAACTGATGACAAAGAAGTCCGAGGGTGAAATTCTGGAAGAACTTAAAAAGATCGTTGAAGTTGTGGAGTTCATAAACGAAAAGGATAAATTCATTCAGAAATATTGCAGAGTTTTAAGAGCTCGACAAATCCAAGAGACATCAATCTGGGACGGAAATGAGTCGACAATGATTTCCCTGCTGACCAAACAGTTCGGATACGGTGCAACTCATACTTTAAGAACTCAGTTGAGGGATTTAGAAGAGTCGAGAACAAAAGTTGGTCTGTTTCAAAATTATATGGATAATAAGGGTGTCAAGCTGGGCTTTGACTTTCGCATCAAGTATTTTCGCAACAGAGGTCTTGATGAGAGTTTTAATCTCATTTTGCCCAAGGAACTACGCATAGCTGTGGAGGAATTTGAATCGTTCAACACTGAGGGTAAGAAGATTGTATTTCACCACGAATTATCCACCGGCGAGATAATCTGTTATTTGAGTCAGTCGACCAAAATTCTTGAGGTGAGCACTTTGCAAATGTCGATTTTGCTGCTGTTTAACGAACAGGAAAGGTTTACGGAGCAGGAGTTGGCGGAAAGGTTGGGCACACCAAAGGAGATCCTGCAACCGGTTTGTTAATATCTTAAATTTGGGTACTACTGCTGAGAGCAATTCTAATGAGTTTAATTTAATTTAGGTACTGGAATTTTGGAAAAGGATCAGCTTCTTGATCACTACCGGGACTTTTGTGGAGGTCAACACGAACTTCACAAACAGGAAGCGCCGTCTTAACTTTAACAAGGCTATGGTTACGGTTAAAACTAGAAGGATTGATGAGAAAGAAGATTCTGACTTAAAATTAAAGCGTAAAAACCAAATGAATGCTGCAATAGTGCGCATAATGAAAAAGCACAAGGAGCTGGAACATTCGCAACTAATTGCAAAAGTAATAGAGGAGCTGAGTAATTTGTTTATCCCAAAAGTAGCATTTATTAAAGAAAGCATTGATACTTTGATCAGTAAGGATATTGTGATGCGGTGTGGTTTTAGCACATACAGATACATCAGCTAAAAACATATAGTCAATTGGTATTTTAAAATATTCTTTTTAAATCCATTTAAAACGAATTTTTAAGATCAAAAACTTAACTTATCGACCAAATTTATTTTGTGTACAAATGTATGCACAATGATAATAATATTCAAAGTGTTTATTACAAAAATATTTTAAGTGTCGAGAATTTTTCATATTTTTTCCAATCAATTTACGACTATTTTCATTAAAAAAAGTTATATTTGTATATCTTTTACTGAACTCTTTAGCTAAATTATTTTAATTACCTAGACTTTAATTTTAATATTTATTTAGTATCTTAACTCTTGAACCTATTTAAAACTCAATACAAAATTGCAATTATAATTCACCGGTTTTTATTTCACTACTTTTTAATAATTAGATAAATGATAAAGCGAAAAAGCTTTATTTACTATATTTAAATTAATGTTTTGAATTAGTCGTTTCTTATATAAAGCTATGAAATCTAGTCTATAGTACGGATATAGATAACTATAAATATCAATTACAATTTTTGTGTATATATATAATATACTATTTATAACTGATTATAATAAAGGAAACCTTTCTGTATTATGACGTTTCCTCATTCTCTAACTTGATGAAGATCAGTTCTGTGCTATCGAAATTTTCATCTGGGATTATTAGCTCGGCCGAATTAATAAGATCAGCATGGTGGTCCCTCAGGTGCTTCTCCAGATGAGATTCGTTGGAGAAGGCTATGGGACAATAGTGGCAAAGTTTCTGTTTGATTCGCATTTCGCTGCGCTTCATCATCTCTGCCCTCCGTCGAGATAACTTCCCCCTTGGTGTGGGTGAGTACTCCAAGAACTCCAAGTTATGTTTGGTCGATTGAGCTTTCGTTTTTTCTGGTTTTATTGCCTCTAGTTCCGGGATTCTCTCGCCCTTTTGCAGTTTAAGGTGGCTTCTGTGGAATATGCGACAGTTAATTGGTTGGTTTGTGAAAACTAGGTTTGAAAGTTAAAATAATCTTAATTCGTGATTGATAACAAAATGATTTCTTCCCTCAAAAGTCATGGCAGCCTAGGTAAAAGTGTCTACAGCTTAACACATTTTATGAATTTCTGTTAATATTTAATCATGTTTAGATTGCCATGACTTTAAGTTTAACTTGTACTAATTTTACTAATCTAACAAAACTTGTTTTTCATCTGACAGATCGTAGAAAAATAGTCGTCTAGCTCTACTGATTTCTAACTTACTTTAAATGTACCATTAGGAGAGATTTGTAGCGGAACTTTCGCGGGCATATTTTGCAGGGATATTTGTCTGCATTGATGTCCTTGCAGTTGTGGGTGGGAAACTCTTCGATGGGAAAAGCCTCCAAGCATGTTGAGCACATTTTTGGTGGGCCAGGCAAATGGTAGCTGATCTCATCCTCCTCTTGTGGAGCGTTGACTCCCATGCAGTCATGATTGGCAAACTCTTCGATGGGAAAACCCTCCCAGCACTTTGAGCAGAGTTTTGGTGGTCCTGCCAAATGATAGCTTATCTTCTCCTCTGGATCGTGGTCTTCCTCATCCTGATCCTCAACGGCATACTCCTTCTTAACCGAATCTGCATCTAGCATGACCACTAAAATGGAATGATCATTAGCTTTTGTATAGTTTATTTCCGTTTTCCAGCTCACCCTCATAAAACTCAGTCCGCTGATAAGTTTCTTCAAGGGGATCTTCTGTTTTTATAAAAACAGCGGACTGTGCATCGCTATGATCCTGTTCACTTTTGATGGTCTTTTGGACCTCCGGATTCCTTGGGAATGTCTTCTTGGATTTCCTTCCCATCTTTGTGATCATGCAGATCTACTATATACCTTTATTTATTTAACGCTAAGATTTTGAAGATCTTGTATTGTTTCCCACCTTTTATCTCGACTTCCAGCTGATTTGCTATTCTTTTTAGGGTGACCAAATTATTAAGCATCAAAGAAATCTATCGATATCGATAAATGTTAGCCGGTACACTTTAAAATAAAGTAGGTTTAGATAATCTTTCTAGGATGTGTTAGAAATTTTTATTCAAAATTCCGTTGATCCAAAAAAGTTACTTTTTCGGAAACGGGTCACCAATAAAAACCAAAGACTATATTAAGGACTTTTATCCCTACGGAAATCCTTTATTGCTTATAAATATATGGAATGCGGATATGAAATTTGAAACCCCCCAATTGGGTGAAAAGTGAAAGGAACTGTGCAACAAATATGTTCAAAAACCCCCTCCACAACCCAAACCTGTCTCCTTCCCCGACTTTTTAGATTCACATTCTATAAATGATTAATGAAATATGTTTCCATCAAAGATCTTTTAAAATAAAAATCAAAAATATTTCGTAGACTTGATTTTTAAAGAATGAAAATCAAACCAATGTCTTAAATTGTAATTTGTTAAAAAATTGTAGTCCCTTGGTAAAATATTCAAACGTTTATATTTAAACTTAAATTAGATTTTGTTATAAATTTATTGTGAAATTTTAAAAGTGATGTAAAGGTAAAAGAAGCAACTTCTTTTTTAGTAACAGTTTAGTTTAGTTCATTAATATTAATAAAGGATACATTTTTTATGATTTATCTTGTGTATGCTGAACTACTTGTACATAAAAAATACCTTAACTAAATAAAAAAGCAGTTCATGCAAATCCGTGAGCTTGCCAGCATGCGAACGGATGGATGTATTTCTATGAGGTCATTTTTAACCAATATTCTCGAAGTGCTCCATTTAGAAAGACTTTTTTGGTCGACCTGTGTTACTTGCGACTTTTAATGTCCTCCAACTCTTGACGATCGATCTCGTCGGGCGTGGGCAGCGTGATTCCTCGCTCGTCGGTCATCTTGTAGCTGGGATCTATGAGGTGGAACCCGAAGCGACTGCTGGGTCCCATGTTAATGGCCACATCGCAGGATGTGAAGCCCGAGTAGTTATGGCTGAACTCCAAGGACATGCGTTGCACCTCGGCGCAAATGCTGCCGTAAATCAATCGATCGTGCATTAAGTGCTGCAGCTGGACCATCTTGGCAATGTACCTCAGTTGACTGCGGGTCAGTGGGCGAGCAGTGAAGTTCCTCCGCGACTCTCTGGCTCCGATCACCTCCTCGCAGACGAGGCCCTCCATCGGTAGGCCAAAGACCAGGGATATAGCCTCCGGCAGGGAGCATGGCGATCGTTCCTGGCGGGCCAAGCACAGGGCCACAAAGGAGTCGCAGATTCCGCCCAACGTAAGCCGGTGCTTGTGGCGCATATGATCGGCGATGCGGTGGCTGTAGTGCACCACCTTGCGCGGCTGCTCCGCCTCCAGGATCCTGGCCACTTCCGGGAATATGCAGCCCAGTGCCTTGATGTCGAAAATGTATGTGTCATTGGCCGTGGCCACCGCCAAAACGGATGTGGCCTGATGGCGTCCGTAAAAGCTGGGCTCCACCAGCAGGGATATGCTGGTCTGATCCTTCATGTCCTCCACGGCTTTGTGGTATTTTGAGTCCGTCTGCTGTATCAAAACAATGCGATCCAATTTCTTTCGCAGACTTTCCACCTCTCCTTTTCCAAGTGGATAACGAATATCTACTTGAGGGGTTTCCAATGCCGAGCTGAAACTTTCGTTTCCCTCACTGTCGCTCATGTTGGCCTGCTGGCTTGTATTAAGTCATTTTAAATCGCATTTTGATTCACAAAATAATCAAAACAAACCTGTTCTCAAATGCAAAGCTTCGAAAAAAAGGACAAAAAAAGTGTGACCGCTGTGATGAAGTAAAAAAAATGCGTTACAGTTAGCATGTGCACCCTCCTGATCTTATTAGTCAATACACCCACCTCGCAAGCAGCACAGCGCGTACCCGCTAAATGCGGTGGGTGAACTAGCTAGGTGTGGAGTGTGCTCTAGCTAAAATTTTATTAAGCGGAGTTATCCTCCACACTGAGAAAAATAAAATGAACTGAGTTCTCTAGTTAAATATAGGGTGCCACAAAAATTGAGAATTTATATTGTTATGCGTAAGAATTTCGGCCTCTTTAACTGAAAAGTGATTCTGGGGCAATAAGAAGTTTTTGTGAATTTATAAGTAATTTTAAGTTAGGACTTAAGATCATCCACCAAAAACAAATATCATTTGCACTACCCACATATGTACCTAAATCCCCTACAGTCATTCAATCTGTTTCAAAATAAAATATAAATTATAAATTTTACAAATAGTTACAATATATTCTCATACAGAAAGTTGAACAGAAAAAACAAATTTGCGGAAATATGCAAATCGAAAAAATAAGATAGGGATCAGGAACCGGGAGATTAAATTCAAGAATAAGAACGTAGTCAGAGGCAATTATACACTTATAAAAATTAAAGTTGAATTTAAAATGTAACTTTCCAATTTTTGAGGTAAAATTCAATTTTTTTGACTTAATTCAATCACAAATTGTTGAGAAGCTGTGCCAGAGCGTGAATTTAATAAATTGAGAGCGTTAAATAGTTGTGATGTTAATAAAGAAAATAATAGGTCGTAGAAAAATGTAAAAAAATCCAGACAAAATTGTAGCACTGCTTGATACTATCATATTATATATTTTATAATTCTGTATTCCTTTGAGTTAAGGAAGTAGTGTTAAAAGCCGATGAAATTGCCCACCATTAATGTGTACCAATATTATCAACAGTTTAAGTTCTTAAGAGGCCCACCCCCAGCACCCATTATTTAGCCGAATTGAATGGAGGAGCTTTGCTCCTTTTGAGCAGATTGCAAATGTAGCCGTATGCGTTGCTAGGATATTGAATCGCATTTGATTTGACCACAAGATAATCGACGACGCAGCCCTATGATTTGCAGACTCCGATCGATTTGCTAATGGCCGGCTCAAGGCGAGGGCCAGACTAGGGCTGTCCGCACTGCAAAATGAGACAAATAAGTGCCTCGCAAATCCGCACCTTTCGCCCGGCTAATAATGGAACCCGATGCGATTACACTGCAAAAGGTTAATTGGTTTGTAAGCGCATTGGATGGGAAGCGACGAAAAAACAGCGAAGGCGAAAGCGAAGGAAGTGTGCACACAATACTGGCCGTAAGTCCGGCCAGCTGACTCAACCTAATTGGCGCACGCGGCGCATACTTAATGCGCTTAGATGCGAGCCAAGCGCTCCGCTTTCACCATTGCCATTTATATTGCCATTGGCACTGCAGGAGCCCCCTTTGGCCCTTGTAATTAAATCCCAATCCCGGCCAAGGCAGCCAACTGCAACATCACGAAATTGAGCCGTTCAAAGGGCAAATCAGGTTTAATTTTAATGCGCTTGCTAAGTAAATTGAGTGTACCAAATACATCGCATTTGCTCATCTTATTTTGGCAGCTGGAATTGAAAATAAATTGGAATTGCCGGCTTTGATATGGCCAAAATGGGTATATTGTTGAATTGCACCTTTGAGTATAAATAAGGCAAGGAATCAGGGCTGCCCAATCTAGACTTTTTCAGAAGAGATCTATTATTTTTTAGAAATCTAAAGCCAGAAGTACTGGTTTTTTTTTTTAATTTTAGAGTTTGTCCCCTTACCCTGCTTTCAGTGTTTTTTTAAGATTATTTATTCCTATTTTCCATTGTATTCAACATATATCTTTTTTTACCCTGCTTTCAGTGTTTTTTTTTAAGATTATTTATTCCTATTTTCAACATATATCTTTTTTTAATGACATCACTGCTTGGAATTGCCAGGAAATATCTTTATTTTTTTTTGTTAATATACAAAATAATACTTAATTAAAAAGTTTGTAAATATTTTTGGCTACAATCTACATTTAAGCTAAAACAAAAGGATTAGATTGAAATTTTTATTTCAATCCTTGAGATATGTTAATATTATATACTCGATAAAAGATATTTTTGTGTGGAATGTTGCGTTTTAAGAAGTAAATAATCAAATCGAAAACTAAAGCTTAGCATTTCGATATAAAAGAAACTTAAGAAGACACGTTGCCTATCATAATTAATATCATAAACAGAATTTTTCATTGAATAATGAGGCAAATGACGAGGAACCCCGTTCCAAGCTCCCTTTTCGTTTAGTTTGCGTTTTGTTTCCGCTTTGCGCCTTGTCAATTATTGTTGCATACTTTGTGGCGAACAATGCCAAGTGGTTAATGAGGGCGGTGGCGCTTGTTCTAGAGGTTCTCGGGGTTCCAGGGGTTCCAGGGGCTTTAGGGGGTCTTTGGGCGGTGTTAGGGGCTAACAAGAAAATCCCTCTATGCCAACACGCGCACACCGTAATTAAGAGACACTCTACTCCATTCCGGGCACCGGGGACGATGGCCCTGGGCCGATGGGAAAACAATGGATGAGCACACGCTCCCCTTTCCGTGCCCAAATGCTGACCCAATTAGTCGAGCAGGTCTCCATCCTTCCTCCGAATCTTCGATGTTCTTGCCCGCTGTATCTTTCTAGTTGCCAGGCTCGTGGGTTGCCACGTTAATTAAATTATCACGTGTCAATTAATGTTGCCCGGCCCAGCGAAACGCAGCCGGAAAAACCATTCACTTTGACGTTCATCAGAGGCACAGGCTCCGGCCTCGGCGCACGGTGCGTATGAGCGATGCCTGTCAACCATCAGCTGTCGCAATTTCTCACAGGCCATAGGCCAACGTTTTTCGCATTCGCCACAAAGCAACAAAACCCCAGGCGGTAAAAAGTGTCGCGCAGAAATCCGTTTGATGATTTCGCGTCAAAGTTTTCATAGTTTTTATAACCATTTTTTGGATGGTGCAAAAGTTCGATTTCAACGGCTGGGTTCGGTGGATTTTCGACGGAGACCAGTCCGGTTGGTACTGTTCTTATTCAAGAAAACATTTTCCATTTTATATTATTAAAATTAACTTGATCTAGGACAGATGTACATCTAATAAAG